GATGGGGGTGGGGGAGAGGAGTGTGCGCCATTGAGAAGGTTCCCCAGGATGGGGTGGGGTGGGGGTCACCCATCTATGTCCCAGCTGAAGAGATGGTGCTTCACAAGCATGTCCTGCACCCCTTCCTTCAGTGGCTTCTTCTCCTTCTCCTGCAGGACGACACAGAGACCCGGGTCAGTGCACCGCACTCGGAAAAGGGGAGGTTGTGTCTGCAGGCAGAGCCCAAGCACGCCGAGGTCTCCAGCACCCAGACAGAGCAGCCTTCTGCACTTCCCACCTCCGCGCAGCTGAAACAGGGAGAGGCCCTGCGGTTTGGAGAGCACCGGGGAAGGGAGGGGCCTGCCATTTCCCCCTGCCCCAGCTGGGCAGGGGCAGGCAGCACCCCCTGCCAGCATTGCCACACAGCTCCTGTCCACAGCCTGCCCTGGCAGGGAAAGCGGCCCCACCCACAGCCTCTGGCACCGGCTCAAGAGGAGGCAGAGGATGGGCTGGAGCACAAAGCTGGGAGAGGGAGTCGGTAAGCGAAGCCCGCGGCTGAGAGAGAGAATGAGAGATGCCACCTACTCACCTCCCTCTTTATCGGCAGCTCCCAGTCCTGAGAGAGGCTGAAGGCAAATTTGCAGAGGACTCTGCAATGGAAGAGAGCGATGGTAACACACACAACACCCCCCCACCCAGATCACACTCCCAGCCTGTGCCCGCAGCTGCTGCCCCCAGGCACACAATTGCCCTGGCACGCCACTAAGCTTACAAGGATGAAATTTCTTGTTTGTTGGTGTTGAAAGGGCGGCACCAGCCATTCATCCCCTGTTTCCCCCTCCTCTTTGGGCTTCACATCCTGCCAGGCGCAGGCTGGAAAGAGAAGCTTGAAGATGTGACTCAAGTGCAACCCCTACAGAGCCTGACACAGCAGCACAGGGAAGCACAGACAGCCCCGGCCTCTGCTAGACGGCAGACACATGTGGCTGACTGAACGCAGCTGGCAGTCGGCAGGGTTGCAGGTTCCTCTCCAGAAGGCAGGCTCCTGCCAGTAGCACCTCTGCACCCCCCCCTCCCTGGAGTAAGAGAAGTGTCCTGACCCCCATGCACAAGTGCTGCATGGGGATGGCACGTGGAGCTCCCTCACTGGACCCGGCTCTAAGCAGAGGCTGCAGGCATAGCCTCAACCCTGTCCCTAGGACAGGGTTGCACAGCTCAGACCCTCCTGGCAACAAGCTCATCAGTCCTTCAGGCTCAGGGGAAACTCCTTGTGTGGGGGTGTCCTCCAATTCCTGCAGCAGTGAGGGAGCTGAGGCCCTCCACAGGAAGCTGGCTGGGAGAAATATGGCATAAGCCTCCGCTCCTGCTCCACACAAACCTGGGCCCAGCCATGAACCAGTCCCACTTGGTCCTTCAGCTGTGCTGAACTAGCGCTGCCCCCATGCTGCGAGAAAGCAGCCACGGGACATCGCAGCACAGAGGTGGAGGGGACTCCCTTCCTCCCATTCAGCAGCAGCACAAGGAGAACAGGGCACCCTGAGGTGTGTACACACAGGCCTGTTTCTGGCTACAGATACTCCCACCGGGGCCAGAGGCAACCGGGTGGTGCAGACAAAAGCCAGTTCCCGCAGGACGGAGCTCATCAGTCCTTCAGGCTCAGGGGAAACTCCTTGTGTGGGGGTGTCCTCCAATTCCTGCAGCAGTGAGGGAGCTGAGGCCCTCCACAGGAAGCTGGCTGGGCTGGGAGAAATATGGCATAACGCTCCTGCTCCACACAAACCTGGGCCCAGCCATGAACCAGTCCCACTTGGTCCTTCAGCTGTGCTGAACTAGCGCTGCCCCCATGCTGCGAGAAAGCAGCCACGGGACATCGCAGCACAGAGGTGGAGGGGACTCCCTTCCTCCCATTCAGCAGCAGCACAAGGAGAACAGGGCACCCTGAGGTGCGTACACACAGGCCTGTTTCTGGCTACAGATACTCCCACCGGGGCCAGAGGCAACCGGGTGGTGCAGACAAAAGCCAGTTCCCGCAGGACGGTGGCAGCAGCAGCAGCAGGGCTGGAGTGGTGGTGGTAGCAGGGGGGTTTGCTCTGCGGCTCCCTGGGACTGGATGTGGCTTTGCAGAGTGCAGGAGGGCCAGGAGCAAGCAGTGTGGATGTGTGCCCTGGGCTCCAAGCGATGTGCTTTGTGCAAACTTAGCTGCGTTCAGCCCCTGACAACGCTCCCTTGCTTAACCAGGAGTCAGCCGGTGAGTGACTCCTTCCCAGCCAGTGACAGCCAGACTGTCTCCCTGGCACATTCCCTGTTCCCTGCTTGGACTCATGGTGGCTGGCAGAGGACCTGGAGAGCAGGGTTTGGAAAAGGCACCATCAGAGTACATGCAGGGCACAGCAGGAGGTTGCTGGCAGGCAGAGGCTGCCTGCTTGTCATGACAGCTCCCCAGGAGCCAAGCTCTGCTCTTGATCAGGCAGGCACAGTGCATCGCTTTAAACTGTCTAGACAGTTGCTGCTGCCTCAGCACACAGAAGGAAATCTCTGCAGCGGGGATGTTTGGGCAGCCCACGCTGCTACTCACTGGAGAGGGTCCAAAACCAGCCATAGTGAGGGCTACCTCCTGCAGGGGAGGAGAAAATCCATTCCAGACCTGGGCAAGGCCAATGGGGACAGACTCACCTCAGCTCACATTTGATCTGCACCCAGCCGGGACTGCGCAGGAACGACCAGGGATGGAACCACTTCTCCACAGTCTGCAGGCTTGAGCACAGCACCTCTAGCCACAAATGTAGCACCTGCTCACTGCAGCGATGGAGTGGAGGCATGTTACTTGGCAGAAGCCAGGGAAAGAAGCCCCATCCCTTTGGGATAGTCTATTTTCAGCCCAAGCCTTGACCCCAGCCCACAGTCCTGTCCCCAGTGGGAACAGGATAACCCAGTAAACTTGTGTGAGCCACTCCATGCAATGAGAGCTACTTCTTCCAGCCAGGAGCCAGGCCAGCATTATGAACAAGAAAGAAGCAGGTCCCACTCAGTGGCTGCAGTGAGAGGGAGAAAAAGACCCTGTGGCCTAAGGTAGATTGAAACAACTGCTGCCCTTGAGCCTGCTCTGCCCCCTCCCAAGCTCCTTGCACCCCCCCTCTCCACCCAGGGGTATCAGGACCAGATGACTCACTTGAGTCCAACACAGATGAGAGAACGAAGCTTCACGTCCATCTGTGCATGTGCAGCATCGTGCGTCATGTTCACAGCCTGAACTGCCTGCGGGGTGGGAAGATGTGGTTACTGCCTTCTCAGCTTAGCCTTAGGCTGGGCTGGGCAGCCATTTCAGCAACACAGCCATATGCTCCCCTCCCCAGAGCTCCCCACCCTTACCCAGCACCACCTGCTAGCACCAGAGGGGCCGAGCCTTCCTGATGGCTTCACTTTCTGCTTTTGCCCAGGCACATGGTGTCTCTACTGCTTCCCATCAGGGAAGGTCTGGGAGCATCTCCCTAGAGAAGGGTATCACCCTTCAGCAGCCTCCATGGGAAACTTCCCCACACTACTGCTTCCCATCAGGGAAGGTCTGTGGAGCATCTCCCTAGAGAAGGGTATCACCCTTCAGCAGCCTCCATGGGAAACTTCCCCACATTAGGAGCTGGGCTCTGGCTGGGCTGGGGGCAGCACTCACCCGGTAAAGCAGCTCCTCTGGAGTGAGGACTTTGCCATCTTCATCAAGCCTGCAAAAGACCACAGCAGAGAGCTAGCTAGCTCCGGAGCCACCCCGGGCACAAGCAGGCCTTTCCCCCTCCATACCCCAAACAGCTCCCTTGCTACTGCTGAGCCCACAGGTGATTCTGCAGCCATGAGAGAGCAAGATACAGCCCCAGAAGCAAACACAGGAGCGCGAGGAAGGGGGCAAAAGCCACTGCCAGCCCCAAGTCAGCATGGGCACAGCGGCCTGCTGACACCACACTGACAGGAGGATGGGGCAGACCACGACCCTTCCCAAGGTGGAGAGCAGCAGCAGTTTGATGAGCATGCAGGAGCAGGGCACAGACCCAGCCGCTTCATGTCAATAAAGTGGCCTTACCTGTAAGTCTTGCAGAGCACAAGGCGAGAATACACAGAGTCAAAGTCCCGTTCCACTTCCCGGCTTGCAGCCTAGTAAGGCAGAGGGACAGTCAGTACACTCTGCCCTACAGCTCCCTCACCCCAGCCCTCTGGCAACACTGCCCCACGAAGGGAACTGAGACATCTCACCTCTTCAATGAACAGCCAGGGATGGCAGGGCCCCCCCAGCAGAGATGGCTTCTTCAATCCATGTTCAAATATGGACTTCAAGGCTGGACACAGCGTCCCTCGCACCAAGTCTGTCACGCCTTCTGTGACTGAGTCATCTCCAGCGATGGAGTACTGAGGAACACGAAGAGCCAGCTCTCAGCATACTGGCAAGGGGACAGAGCATGGTGGTGGTCCGCTCACCTACAGCTTCTCTGCACACACCTCTTCCGCTCCCAGGTGCCCACCAGCCCCGCCTCCCTTAACCCCTTATGCTCTTGCATAAGGCACCATGTTCAGTGCTACTCCCCTGGGATTTGCTGGGACACCAGGACCTTTGTGCCTAGGTGCTGCCCAGGAGACCACACAGGTGACCCCAGCACCATCCTGGCAGTGTTCAGCATGTAGGAACTGCTGCGGTTTGGTGTGATGCTGTCTGAGCTAAGGTAAGGAGAAGGACTTGCACTGAGGGTCTCTGGGACTCTGTAAGCTGCTAAAAGTCAAGGCAAATGGGGGTAGATGGGAATTCCCAGGTCAGCTGGTACACCACTCTGAGGTATCACCCTGACACACTGTTAGCATGAAGGGTATTCCAAAATTAGGATGAGTGGGATCCTCTCTATTTCCACAGTTGGGAGAACTGCTCAGCAGTACAGGGTGTGTTTATACACAGAGAGGTGACCTGCATCTAAGGAACCAGCCCCGACAAGGGGGTGAGGAAGCAAGTGAGATGTCAATAGTGACATCTCTCTAAGGGCTTCTCTTGGGGTCTCAGGTCAGCCTTTGAGCACTTCCTCACACTCCAAATGCTGAGGAAGAGAGGGAGAACAGTGCCTTCTCCACTTCCCTTGCAAATTTCCTAGGCCAACAGCTGATGACATTTGTCTCCTATCTCTTACCCCAGCCTTGGGGCCATATTGAGCTATCTGCTCTAAATAGGTGGCATCTCACCACTGCCGGTTGCGAGAGGAACTGAGACAGAGTGCCCCCTCGGGCACAGCTGCTCAGGGAGAATTCACTGTGGTGACTGCAAAGCATGAGCAGGATCCACAGGCACAGCCTCAAAGGAGGAAGAGAGCACAGGCAGCAGGGAGCAGGCAGAAACACTCTCCACAAGATCCTCCTGCGTACCTGCCTGCTGCTTTCTCAGCTTTCCCAAAGCTCATCTCCAGGGGCCTTGCAAGCCCAGGCATCACACTCAGCTGCCCTCTGGGGCCCTCATTCTCCACTTGGTCAGCATCAGGAAGTTGAGCAAACAGGCTTAGGAAGATAAGCTGCCTGATCACATCACTAAGTGCTCAATAGCCAGAGACAGCAAACAAACTCAAGAAGGGAAATATATGGCTCTTTTCAACTATGTTTTTTCAGCTATGACATGACTTTTTTTTAATGTTGGGGTTTTTTTGTTTTTGTTGCATTTTGGTTTTTTAATTACCTCTTTGCTCCGCTCATCCAAAATCTCCACAAATTTTGCAGGAAACCAACCTATAAAGAATGGACAAAGAATTGAGTCTGACACTGAGAAACCTCTAACACAGACAAGACCAGAGCCCAGTGGAAGCTGAGAATAAATCAGAGTTCATAGTGTCCAACCCCAAAGAAGGAAGCGAGCAGCCTCAAAATCACAAGAATTAAGGCAACTGCAAGAGGAAGCCAATTACAGGACACTGCCCACAAGCAGTGCATTGCATGCACCCAACCACCCTGCGCCAGGAGGATGGAGCCTAAACTTGCTGTTTGCAAGAAGTAACCAGGTAGCTGCACCACCGTGCTCATACCCTGCTTTAACCTTTCCCTCATCCCTAGCAGATGCTCTGGGTAACTGGCACAGCCTTTGCTGCAAATGTGCCAGAGCAGTTGCTGTGGATGAATGGATGCTTCGCATCCAGCCCCACTCTCCCCAGTGCAACCCATCCTGCTCTCACCTCTCAGTCCATTCAGCTCTCCCACCCAACAGTGCTCATCCTTCTGGGAAATGATCTGAAAAACAGGGATTGGAAAACACTGGTTGAAGAGAGTTCAGTGCCAGGAGGGCTACAGCTGCCCGGCTGTGTGTGCACAATGAGGAACTGCTTTCTTCAACTGTTTTGCCAATGTTCTCTTCTCATGCGGCTCAGGGCCTTCAAGGGCAAAAAGCTACTGCAAACACAATGCTATGCCTGTTTTCCCCAATTTCAGATGGGATGCCCACAACTAAAACGCAAATGGATGCTTTTACAGTCTTACCACAGCTTAGTGCGCAGTGTTAAACCAGGACCCAGGGTGGACCAAATCAATCTTTTTCTCAGCTGTATGGCAGCCAGGAAAGGGACTTTGTGATTGCATTGAGAATGACCCACAAGACGACACTCACAGGAACATACTGCCTCATCCCCAGGCAGCCCCCAGAAACACCAAGTGCTTCCCTTGAACTCCTAACTGGGCTCTGAGCTGATCTCCTCCCTTCTTTCCCTGCAGAAGAGGCAGTGCAGCGTCCCCAACAAGTTGGGTCTGCATGGTCTTGCCCTGGTCCCTGTCTCATAGGCTGACACACCGTAATGATGTCATTCTTGCGGAAGCCCAGCTCATCGTCATCATGGCGCTCAAAGTCCAGTAGTGCCTTGGCTCGTCGTCGTCGGTTGCGGGAACAGGCCACATAGTTCTCGTGATCCCGCTGGTGGCTCTCCATGCTGTAGTCTGGAGTCAGATCCTAGCATGCATGTGGGCGAAGAAGAAAGAGGAATGAAAAGCAACAGATGACTCCTAGCTGATCTGCCAAAGCTTGCATGCCCCTGTTCTCAAACCTTTTCCTTCTTCTCCTAGCAGGCAGACAACCTCTCAGCACAGCCGTCCTCCACCAAGGATGGGTGGAGCAACCCTCACCCTCCACTCATTGCACCTGGCATGTTGTTCCTCAAGCCCAAACACTCCAGGAGCATTTGAACAGCCCTGTCCTGTGCTGAACACTCAACACTCGTGCCTGGAGCAGACAGCAGTGAAGATCCAGCTGTTCCCACTCACAATGCTGCAGTTCTTGGGATCCACACACTGGAAGTGCCGTGCAACCTGGAGAATGGCCTCACGCAGGTCGGCCACCAGCTCCGTCTGCTTGATGTTCTTGGCTTTCAGTGCCTCCAGATCGTCGTCCCCTGGGGGAGCCCACACAGCCAGCGGGAAGGCGAGGAAAGGAAAACAAGTATAGGGTATTTATTTTTTTGTTAATATTAGAAATCATTGATTCTACAGAAATCAAAAAAGCCTGACATTAGAAATGCCTACGCTAAGGCAGGTACTTACTGCCAATCTATTCATTAATGTAAATAACCAATACCAATTTGACTGTCTCAAATTTTAAGGAGCTGGTATTTCAAACCACATATGGAACTGGAAGATGTCATCTTTGATCTCTCTGGACAACTCAGTATACCAAGGTACTGCGTACTACTTTAGAGAAGTGTCTATGCAGTATATAGACAGCTGAATGGTGGGACACAAAACTAGGGAACTTTCAAAAATTCTCTTCAACTGAAATTCTGTTGAAACTGAAACAGCTTTTGGTTGAACTACTTCTGATTTTTGCACACCTTACAGGCTGAGAGCATATTCTTCATTGAGTCTTGAAAAAAATTTGAAAAACCAAGACAGCCCACTTTCCTGTGTCAGCCTAGAAGTCAGAGCCACGAGAGAAAAGCTGCCATCTACTTAAGACCTGGACCTCCCTAAGAGCCAGATTTCAAAGGTTTTGGGTGTATAGAAATGGTCATAAGTACAAAGTAAAAGTTACCAAAGCATCTTTCTAATCACTAATTCCCCCAGGAGTTCTGACAGCCTAACTCTATTAGTTTATGCAGAAAGATACCTAATGGGATGAATTCTTTAGGCAGTTAATGTATCTGAATGCCTTAAAAATTGGGTATATGATGTTTGGGAATAATGAACCATTTGCTTCTTTTTCTAAAAAAATTCAGTTTGTTTTAAATTCAAAGTGTATTTTCATACATCTGTTTTTGCTCTCTCTACAGTATACTGAAGATGTGGTAGCTTGATTAACAAAAATCAACATTTAAACCAATGTATTTTTCACTGAACTCCAATTTTTATACAGACACAACTTTTATGCAAGACCCAAGTAAATAATTGGCTAGCAAATTAGTGCTCTGCTTATCTTCTAACAGCATTATACAAACCAATATGAATAAAAGTGTGGGCCAAGCTATAGAGCTGCTGCAACAGCTATGTACACACGAAGCTTCTGCTTATTGGAAAGTGATTCACAGTATCTTTTAATCACAAGTGATCCTAATTAAAAAGACTAAAACTTTAAGAACATAAATAGAAGCACAAAATTAGATTTAAAATTATTTTTATAATTGTTTTCTATTTGCTAAATTAAAATTATTAGAGAATCAGACACACAGAGCTTAAGAGAAAACTGAACTTTGCTTCCGGACTAGAAAAATTGTAGGGCATACTTACTCCCAGTCCAAGCAATGAAAATTAACAAAACCTCCTCCTCAGTGGCCAGGGGTAGGAAATAGAGCATGTAAGAAGTCTCACTACAGATTCAGAGATACAAAGATTGTAAATAGATAGGTGATCACGCAGACGGCGGGGATTCCCAGAAAATTCATGTGCTAAAACAGAATGTGACTAAAGAAGAAACGACTAAACCACAGCCACACTAGCTCAGTGGGCTGCCCTCATTTACATAGATCACCGATTCTTTCTATCATCATTCAGTCCCTTCTGGCTGAAATACCGTCCTCCTCCCTCTGCACTCAGATCAATCCCACCCAAACACAAGCAGGAGATATGGGAAGCAAGTTCCACACCCTCCCACCTTAGAATATACACGATACAGAGGAAAGCAACTGGGGTTTCCACCAGATTCACCTCACTGCACCCGACACGCCTGCGTGTACATTTCCAAAACAGGAAACCAGTGCAGGATCGGCCACATGTGAGGAGGCTCTATTTTGAGTCTGCAAAGGCTGACTAGCTGCACAGTTGTGCAGAGGAGGACTAGCTCTCCTGCATTTCCTTGTCACAACGCCCATCCAACAGGAAAAGGGCAACACGCACATCTTGTTCTTCGCCAAACTACCTTTCACTGTTTCTTCTTTCTATTCCTTCGTTAGAAATATGGTCCAACTCCTTGAATCTCAGCTAGAGAAAGCCCTGACCTAGCATGAGCAAGAGTCTGGCTTTGAGCAGGAGAGGTTGGCCTACAGACATCTAGAGGTCCCTTCCAAACAGTGCTCCTGTGATTCTATGACTCCTTGCCAAGTGACTACTAAATCTGCATTCACTCTAAGGAAGAAGAATTAAGTTCTGGGTAAGTTCTTGCTCCCACCCAGACAAGGGCTATGTACCAGCTCTACACAGTGACTATCACAGGCAGCAGACTTTACACTTAAGGTTGATTGACAGTTCCCAGTATAAGGTGAATTTATCACATCCAAGCTTTCCTTCCCCTCACTTGGGCTGAAGTTTTCCATCCTGGTCTTCTGCTGCAGGATGTCAACTTCTCTATTTTAACCGACGTTTTAATTACTAAGAATAATTTAAGGTAAAAAATATGACAGTCACTGTACAGAAACCCCACTAAAATGAAAAAACACTATCAATCATCTCAGTTCTGCCACTGATACATTTTGAAGCTTGAACTTAAAATTTATCTTTGTGCGTGGGTATAACTCACTATCACCTTCATAAAGCTACTGAAACTTGGTCAAGGAGACTATCTGAAACACAAGAAAGATGCATTTCGCAGCCAAGTTCCCTGCCAGTTCAGTCTGTACTGACTGTATGATAACATTACATACAAGAGGACTGAGTTTAGGTTGCACAAGAAACTTTCCTGCATTTCTTCACTTCTGCATGCTTGACTTTACAGCTGCATTGGTCTTCTACCATAACTTTTATATGTGATGCTGTATGTGCTTGTAGCAAGCCTGCGACAATATATCAGCTTCCTGGAGAACATCAGAAAAGCTCTTCTCTGAAAAGACCAGTAAAACCCAGTTTTAGATTTATTCAGGCCATTTCAACCACAACAGGAACATTGTTTGAACCCTGTAAATTCAGTATGTTGTCTTCCTCCGGAAAAACAATTTCTGTGGTGACATGTGGCAATTTCAAGAAAGCTAACCAGTTGCAAGGAAGGTGATGACAGTGAGGCTTACAATAGAAAGGGCTATTATGCAGTCACAGAAGCAAGTTACTTTTAAACCAATGCAAAACCTATTCTGGTCGTCTGATTTCTGGACATACGCTGGCTTAGCTCATAAGCAAAGAAAATGAAGACTCAGAAGTGTTCGCAACATCGAACTCTCAGATTAAGTAAGGGGGAACATCAGTGATGTTTGCATTTATAAATTTTGATGGGTGACGTGCTGGACCATCCTGCCCTGTCTCAGATCTTCAGAGATGTTCCTGAACTGAGCAGAGTAACATCAGGAGAGTACAACATCCAGCCTGTGGACTGCATGTGGTCTGCCAGAAAACGTGTTTGACCTGTTGGTCAGTGCAAGAAGGACATTACAGCTGGGCTGAGCTGCAGCCTACTGTTAGTTACCATTTAAGGACTAACCATCTAACTTAAAATTCACTTTCTGAGCTCAGACCAAAGCAAGCAAGTAGAAAACTGCACTTCTTCCCTCTCATCCTTCAGTTCTGGCTTCCTCCTCTCCTCTTCCTCTGTCCCAGTGTTTTCCTGCTTTGCTCACTCCCCTCCCTCCTAGGCTGCTATATCCATCAACACCACGTGAAAGGCACAGGATTGTCCTTACCGAAAAGCAGAGAGGTGATGCCAGATTTCCTGCGCTGAGTCCTGCGCCGTACAATCTGCGGGAGAGGGAAGCGAGAGAACAAAGTGCACACAGTAGGACAGATTTCAGAAATAAAATAAAGCAATCTTCCACACAGGTCAGCTCTGGGCAAGGGTTCCTGACAGCTACCACTGGAAGGGGCAGGCAAATGAACTGGCAATTTTAGACAGGAGTTGTTCTAGCTCTAACGCAATGAATCAGCTCTACTGCTTGATCTGGTCCATGTGCAATGGGTTGTTTATAGCTCAATTATTACGAAATCATAGTTGAAGTTCAAGAATCAACCATGATTCGAGTGAATAATTTCAGTTCCAATTCTACTTGTTGCCAAAAGCAGTTCTACACGTAATTACATATAAATTTCTAAGTGGATGCCTATTACATTTTAGAATTGCAGTAGTGTCTTGCGATTAGCACACAGACGAGCATCAAGAATATATCTTCCATGCAGGCTTGACAAGTAGGAGCTACTACATCCGCAACTGCAGACTGTAGTCCAAGAATAAACACAGGTGCATTTTTTATTCAGCTTCTCAAAGGCTGCTGCTGTTTTCTGACTCTGCCTTCCAGAGCTTAGTGTATCAGTTTCTTACTAATGGATTAACTCCAGTTCCTACTCTGCATGCTCCAAGCAAATTCTGCCAAAAGCATATGCTGTTTCTTTTGGTTTCCATTAACAAAATGCATCACCTTCCATCATAACTCTCATTAATGATAATTACAATCAATGTCAATATCCCTTTCACCTGGAGATTTATCAACCAGGACAGATCTGCCAGCATTTCATTAGCACAGACCTCCCCCTCACTTCCCAATACCTTTTCCTCCACTGGACGACAGAGTCATCCTGGAGTCAAAATCCTCTCAGACAGGAGGACCTCTTGCTCACAAACAGCAATTGGGAGGGAACACGTAAGGGACTGGTAAAAACGGAGCAGCAGAGGCAGATGGGACTCTGTGCACTCACTTTGGATAAATTGTTGACAGTGGTGCTGGAGTTGAGCAGCTGCCCTTGGTCAGCAATGAGGTAGGCCAAGTGTTTGCGACGCTGGGTCTCCACTGCCACATCTGTCAGTGAGCCAGCCACGCGCATGGCCTCCCGCAGCAACACATCTGCGTCTTCAATCTGACTTGGGATGTCTGAGAGTGTGTTGAAGATTGAGGCAGAGTTCTCGGACTGGATTAGCTCATCCTCCTGCAACGATGCAGTCATTTTGCCACACAGAACAGTGAGCACGACAGCTATGCTCTTGGGGCTGCTAGATGCAATTTTACATTCAGTGTACAGCCTGGGCCAGAAACAATGCAGGTACAGCTAGATAATTCCACAAAAACTTCAGCAGGAAGAGTCCAAGCCACCTATGGGACGGGAACAGCATCTTTTGCTACTCTACTGCACTGAGATCTGCCCCCAAAATTCTAGCTGGCATGTTTTTGAATCATAGCACCCATCATTGAAATGAAGTCAAATCAGCAAGGAAAAGACAAAACAGAAGCTATTCTGCATCCACCGCCAAGACTGGACACAGCAGGGATCTTCCTGGGGACAAGGGAATGGAAGCTGCTCAGTCTCATACACTATAGAGCGCCTACCATGTCAAACTCTGCTCCACCTTCCCCTTACTCCCAGCAGGCTCACCCTTGCCCTTCAACACAGCAAGCTGAACCACAAAGTTATTTTTCGCATAAAAAGGAAAAGATCAGGCGGTTAAACGTAAGTCAGCCAAATCAAATGTAGCCAGGACAATGCTAACCTCTTGGAGCATTCAACAGTGCTTCCCAGATGACCACAACCTCGGCTTTATATCTCTGCTCAGAGATGGTGCAAAATCAAGAAGTATCTTGGTTTAGGTAAGATGGACCCTCAGGTTGGGATCTAGACTGAATAGAGGGGAGCAGCTGATGGGGTTTAATTATGAGGGAACAAATGAGGTAGGCAGTGGAAACAGCAATCCCTGAATCCTGTGAAGTACCTTGGAAGTTATTCACAGCCCCCAGTTCTGAGGAAGGCAGGAAGTCATCTTCCTGAGCACATTCCCAAACCACACACAGGAAGTGGATACAAAACCTTCTTGCCCCTAAAACTCAGAATTAAACACCGATGTACTATAAAGGAGGAAGAGGAGGTGGGAATTACCTTCATACTGAGCATGCCCAAAGTGAGCTGGAACAGCACCAGAGAGCCCTGGTAGAAGAAGAGGTCCCAAATACGTAGCAGCAGCTTGATGTGGACAACACTAGCGAAAGAGGTGAGGAACCAGTGCAAGGTGATCAAGGAGAGCTCTGTGAATAAAGACACAGAAAAGAAATATGACAAGGGAAGTCAGCCAACCAGTGAAGATGGACTCTTCTAAGTGCTCTCCTCCCAGCTCAAAGATGACCATGCACTGCCTCCAGGGCCAGGAGGTTTGCTCCTAGCCCTGCTGCTCTCCCTTTGTGAAACAAGAACAATAATTTTTGTCTGTGTGTCACGCTGGCAAGAAAAGCTATGGTTTCTAGGGTACGCTTTTACCGATGTCGTGCTCCTGGAGCAGCTTGTCCAGGCGGGGCAAGTACTGCACAATGAGCTGTCGCAGGACACGCTGGTCAGTCTGCACGCCCATCAGGGTGGTGCTGAAGTAGGAGGCAGGAACCAGTTCCTCGATGATAGCACACATCATCCAGAAGGCATCTTCCTCCTCCAAGAAGAGCAGCAGAGAGGCAGCCACCTAGGATTTTGAAGGAAGAACTGTATGTCCTAAGAGGAGTAGAACTCTTTCCCCACTTCCTCACGTGGAGAGATGGACCAGTATCTAGGTGACCAACATCTTCCTTCCTCCGCAGCAGCTCTCCTGCAGTCTCCCACTGAAGTGATTTCTCCTCAGTGTAATGCCTGTCCCTCCCCAACAGATGGACTGAATTCTTCCACATCTTTGTACACGTGGTGCTACTCTGCTCTCCCTTCCTTAGGAAAAATGTTTCATGTAGAAGGGATTTCCCTTCAGCTCATCTGGAGGCCATAGTGTCTGGCAGCACTGCCTCAAATCACTTGCCCCAGCATAGACACCACAGACAAAACGATCCCTATCATAAAGACACTCTGAAAACAGGTTACCATGCCAGTGCCTTGGCAATATCCAATCTCTGGGTAGAGCCAGGCAAGTCCCCGTAGTATCCTGCGTAGCCGTGGCACCCCGATACTGTTCATGTTGGAGAAGCAGGCGTTGCTGGGCATCGTGCGGAGCAAGTCCTTTTCAATCTGCGAGACAGCCATAAGCAAGGACAGGGTCAGCTAGTAGCATCTGAACAATTGCCTTTTGCACTTCCCCATGGCCTCTTGCCTCAAGGAACAAGGAACGCTGCTTCCCCGCACTCATGCATAAGTCCTTAGGCACCAAAGAAGATGGCCCTGTCCAAGAAGACACCCTGACCTGGGGTCAGTTTAACAGCCTTCACTGACACGTGGGAAAATGCCAGTGCAGACAGTGACTTGGTGTCTCCTAAGAAATACTTGCCTAAACTCAGCCCCTAGCTTCACCACTGAGAATAGTAGGCATACTGATTGGGAATTTCATCTGCTTGGATTTCAAGCAAGGCTTCCCAACGAACCCATCCCAGAAAGAAACCAACAACCTGGCCACAACTGTGACAGGGGACTTGCAGGTGAACAGCCCACAGATCTCCTTTGGGCACTGCTGTTCCTCCTTCCAACCATTTTGAACCTAGCTTCTTAGTGAGAGGTGAACGTGTGCAGAGCTCAGTTTCTTTTGCCATGGCCTTTGCCTCCTCCCATAAAAGGAGAGGTCAGAGGAAGAGGGAAAACACCCTGTAACAGTCTTGTTGGTGTTCAGAGACTTTGTATTTGAGGGAACAAAGAGAGTCCCTGGAAGCAGCTGCCACTACCTCAACAGAGGTGCATCTGTCAGCCTTTCACCCTTCACTTCCCTCAGTGACTATCAGGATGTTTGCTGGGATGCAACTGCAGCACTGTTTTCTAGCCTGCAGGTAGCATGGGTCCAACCCCTTCCCTGCTGTCCTAGGAAGCAGGGGAGCTGCACAGTTGGTATTCCAACAAACGAAGGAGAAATATGCGCAGTAGGATTGAGCTTTAGCAGGATTCAACCACATATGTCCTCTCAACTGTCCCTGCTGCAGGTGTTAGGCAGATACCCCTTCCTCCTCACGCAGCAAATCTTGCCCTTCTCCCCACTCCCTTGTGCCCAGTCAGCATTAGGCAGTATCTCCTACCTGTTTGGCAGCAATGGTTTCATCGTTAGAGCTGTTTTTCACGATATCCCGATATGACATCTCTGAATTCCTCTTCTTCTGCAAGGCCCCCGACAGGCGCATCCACAGCTGCGGGAGGCAGGGTGAACAGAGATAGGACGAGTAACTAAGACAGCCACAGAAAGCCATCATCTGGCACCCTCTCAGCTAAGAGGGTGCACTTGCTCCACTGTCTCTTACTCCAGGCCTGCCCAGAACAGGCAGCACTCTCACCTGTGGCCTCATGCTGTGCGGGATGCCGGCAAGCACCAGGGAGCGCAGCTTGTCTGAATGCGGTAGGGTGACCTCAATTTTGTCCCAAGTGAGGTCGCCCACGTCATGGTTGTGTGTGAATTCCAGATGAGCCTGCCACTTGAGCCTCTGCTGTGGCTCCTCCGTCAGTGGGACCCCCAGAAGCTTGCTGGAGTTTGGCTCAGCACCATCTGCCTCAGCAAAGGGCAGAGAATGAAATGGAGACAAGTGAGAGAGGGAACAGGAGAGGGAACAAACATAGGGCAGGGTGGGGAGTAGGAAGGCCATCTGAAGAAAGCACATTAAAAACATTCACGTCTTCCAGCCAGAACATGGAAAGGCAAAGCTTGGTTTCTGTCTTCTCCATGCAGCAAATTTTATGGTCATAAGCAAAAGGCACTGGGGCTTTGAGAACTAAGAAGCTGTCTGCAGGCTTCTAGTCTCTACTTACTCTTGATTTAGAGCAGAGTGTGGCTGGAATTAAACAAAACCCTGGCAGCAGTCATCCTGCTGGGTTTTGTAAGGATCTGTAAATCAGGCTGACAAAAGCATAGCAAGCCTCAGAGGTGGCAAGCAGAAGCTATATGCTCATGCAAGTAATGAGGTGCAAAATGTTAACTTTGGGGATATTTAATCACCAAAAAAGCTTTAATAAGGACACTTCCAAATTCACAATGAGAGAGCACCTTAACTTGAGGCTGGCTTTCTAAAATAGATGCTTTAGCACAAGTACAGGTTTGATGCAAGGCACTCTGTCCTTCATCTTATAACACATCCCAACAGTGCAGTCCAAATCTTTCTGCTGATTTTATAATGCACGAGTCTATCAAATGTTCTAGCTGAAGAAAATCCCTGTGTCCTGTCCTCATCTCCCAGTCATTACTTCAAAGAGGATCCTCTATGACTCAACGTGCCTCAGGGCACACATGCAAACAACTTCTGCCCTTGCACTGTATGGCCTGAGCCTGGAAACGTCCTCTCAGAGCACATAAAGCAATTCCTATGTCCTCCACTCCTCTCTCTTCCTCTTCGCAAAGGCAGCCAGCTGTTGTAGTTCAATGCCCAGCTGCAATAGGTCTCCACACCTCCTCCTATTTGGTTGCCTGCCTCTATATCTTGCAGAAAAAACTAGGATGTGGGTTCTGCCCCTACAATTTGCCTTACACTTTGCCAAGCTGCTGGGATGGGCAGAACACATACTGCTGCCACTCACCTTGGCCGTGAGTCTTTCAACGGACAGCACGTGTCACTGTGCCTGCTATCAGTGCTTACAGTGCTACTGAACACGACAGAGACCCCACTGTGAACTGGGAAAGTTGCCCTTCCCCAGCATGCAGCTGCTAATGGAAATGGTAACTTCCTCGTAACTTTTCTCTATCTTACCCATGGCACAGGCATAAGGGGATGGAAATGACTCTGCTGCATAGTCTATGCTCCAAACTCCCATAAGGCCAGCACGTCTAATGCACTTGATTACAATGGTAAGATACAGCAAGATGACGACAGGTGGGTAGACAAGACCTAGCACAGAATGGTTGCAAAATCACCTTGCCATACTCAGAAGCATGGGAAGGGCTGGGCACAGGACACAATGGAAGGGGGAGGGATGGGACTGGCTTTACCTTCCTTATCAACTCGGAAACCGAATTCATCGTAGTGGAACTCTGGCTGCTCGACGGATTCTTCTTTCTGGGAGATGTGAGGAAGGAGAACAGACACTTTCACCAGTTTAGCACTGAACAACTGAACAGAGACATGTGGATATTGCCCCATCCCACCACTGTCTGCACTGTGCCCTGTGAGCAACTAGACTCCTTGCCCTTTTATTTTCAATGCCTCCCACCACAAGTCCCAGCTGGGGAGGTGTTGCATGCCATTCCCATTTTGACTTCTCCATGGAAGTTGTGAAGCCCTGCCTTCACACCTGCGCAGATTTTCCCAGCAATCCTTTTTCCAGCATGGCTTGAGCACAGCATCTTATCAAGATCAGAACTTCCCACCTGGAGGGGCATGCAGCCCTCCTCATGGACTGAGGAATCCACACACTTAAGTGTGTGGCATGCTAAAAGTGGTCTCTACTGTCTGCATCTCCAATACACAGCAGTCGTCTGTTACCTCTGCACACACACTGCAAATTCAGCTCCCTGCATTGCTCCATCTCCTGCCTGTTGCTTTCAGATTTCTCTGAAAGACAGCACACAAAACTGGGATTTGCACCTGTGAAGCAAACCCAAATTATAGGCCAAAGGAAATTAAGGTCCATGACCCAAATCTCAAACTTTCCTCATCTGTGCTCATGGTTGGCATTGGGGAGTATGCACTGGAGGTTACAATCAGGCTTTTTTAAGGAGTGCAAGCCTACAGATACCTCCCCTTTCCTGCAAGCCCACCTGCCCTTCCTGTGGGTCTCACAAGCATTGCACCGAGGCAGCGCCCAAGAAGCATGCTTCTAACATAGCTCCACAATAAGTTTCAACCTGCTTCACTGGGCTCAGCTGCCTTCAGCAAACACTGCGGCTAAGTTACAAAATTCCATGGCTGCTTCCTTCCTTCCTGCTCTGCCCACCTGGTGACAAGTCTTGAGGCTAGCATTTCCTGCCATGCACAAGCCATTCAGAGTAGCTTGATGGTGACAGACTCCCTGAGGGTGTCAACATTTTTACAGTGGAGCAATAGTTGCAAAACAGCAGGGCAATAATTCACACAAGTTTCTTTGTGCTCTGCAAGATCCTCTTGCAAGAGCCAGGATGCAGCCATGAAGTTAAACATGAAGTTTAAGTAGCAAACAAGCATCCACAACCAAACCACCGGAGGAAGAGTGCACCTCTCCCTCCTTTTCCCTGTGGCTTTTCAGAGATCACCAGAAATTGCCAGGGTCCCTTTACTTCTGTGCAGAGCCAGAAAACACCCGCTCCCTGCCCCACACCATACCTCTGTGTATTTTGCCAGGATCTCCTGAGGCCAAATGCTGGGAGTGAGTGCTGAGAAGGGACCCCCAGCAGAGGGAGTGTGATGGCCTAAACAGAAAGAGATCAACATACAGCAGTGAAAACCTGGAGCGACTCCCTTGGAAGATGCACACTTGATACAGACTGTTCCAGCAAGAGAAGGCTCCCTGCCCCACACCATACCTCTGTGTATTTTGCCAGGATCTCCTGAGGCCAAATGCTGGGAGTGAGTGCTGAGAAGGGACCCCCAGCAGAGGGAGTGTGATGGCCTAAACAGAAAGAGATCAACATACAGCAGTGAAAACCTGGAGCGACTCCCTTGGAAGATGCACACTTGATACAGACTGTTCCAGCAAGAGAAGGACTCTCTCAGCAGTCACTACTGCCACTCTAGACATTAAGACAGCTCCCACTTCACCAAGGAAGCAAGTAATTTCAGATGGTTTTGTCCCTTATCATCAAGCAAAAGAAGCAGGAAGGCCAAAAGGAGTTCCCTCTAAGAAAGAGACTTTTAGGGAAAGGAAATCCCTTCCCACAAAAAGAGATCCCCCCCCCCCCCCCCCCCCCCTGCCACTCTAGACATTAAGACAGCTCCCACTTCACCAAGGAAGCAAGTAATTTCAGATGGTTTTGTCCCTTATCATCAAGCAAAAGAAGCAGGAAGGCCAAAAGGAGTTCCCTCTAAGAAAGAGACTTTTAGGGAAAGGAAATAGTTCTGTGGCATCATGTGATCTTTCTTCTCCTTGGAAAAGCTGTGTGGTCAGTGCCAAGCCAGGGGTACCATTACAAAAAAAATTATTATGGAGAAGTAAACCCCTCCTACAGAGTCACTGACCCCAGCACCAGCAGCACTCCAGAGTTCCCTGAAACTTTGTCACCCACGCACCAAAATGGGAAATCAGAGTGCTCAGCAAGATGCTCCCTTTGCTGCAGAAGGGCTGGGACACTTCTGCCCCTCCCTGCAAGGTTGTCAGACCATGCATAAAGAGCTGCAGCAATGAAAATATGCCTATCATCATGGTCTTTTGTGTTCAAGGTAAACACCTTTGCAGTCTCGGGTAGTGTCCCACTGAACAGCTTCCTTTGTAATAATAGCAGATGTCAAGTTTTGCAACTGAAGCAGGTAAGTATGTCTCAGGCCTTGCTGCGCACATCAGTGACAAAAAAGTTTACTTGGCTTCGAAGTATAGTCTCCCTCAGGGTTACATGCCCTGAAATAACCACCTGGACTGGGAAGGAAGGTGTACACAAAAATATGGGGTGGAAGAGTGGGCCACTGTAAGATGGATGTGCTGGAGGAGACCTAGTTTTAGCAAAGCTTATATCTCAGTAGCTCACAGTTGAACTCAAGTAATTCTTCAGCCTTCTGCCTTCCCTAGGGCTACTATTTTACAGCAAAAATGTCTCAGATCATAAGCAAGCCACCTACTTTGGGGCAAGTCTTGGGAGGAGAACAGAACAGAGCAAATCTTACGAAAAATGGGGAAGGCAGACTACATTTCAACCTCCTTCTTCCTCTGTGTTCAATGGCTGAAGCAGCTTCTGCAGGCTTCAGCACAGGGTAAAAGAAGGAACTGAGTTCACCCTGAGTGAAAAGGCAGCTGTGTCACAAAGAGCGGGGAGGTCTCTTCTCCCCGAATTTGACCAGACAGCACATTAATGTAAAGAATGGCTCTTGGACCCAGTAACTTTATTTTACTAAGTTGCAGCTGAAGAAAGAGCAAGCAACCAAACAAGAAGGTACTTTGTCCATTTTTGTCTGCTCACCTGACATTATGCTAGGTAAGGCTGAGTAGCAGAGGCTGTCAGCAGGTCCAGAAATGCTGTTCTCAGAGGTAAGAGGTCACTATCCTGTTGTTAAAAAAAAAGAGAAGAAAAAAAAAAAAGGTGATGAGAGAATTGAATTAGCATCTAAGAACATGGTGGGGGACAGACAGACAGACCCCTCACACACAACATCCCCACAGGAAAATTAAATTCCAGAGACTGGAATTTACTCTTGGTTTCATACCTACCCATCAGCTAAAAAGAGCACACTGTCATTTACCAAATTCCTTGTGACAGTAACAGCACTGCTGATGGAAAAAATGTCAAAAATCAAGTCAACTTTCACCACCTTTTCCATCACATGTTGTGAATCCCATATTAATTATGCATACTAAAAAACCACACCATACATCACCATTCTCTGAATACACTGCCCATGGACAAGGGACTGGAATGGTGAAAAGGGTATAAGGGGATATCATTAGATGCAATAAGCCTGAAAGAGATTTTAAAGGTAGCATCACAAGAGTCAAGTGTATTAGGCTGTGGAATACAGCTCTCTGAAGGGAGCTGGGAAAGCTTCTGACAAGGATTAACTGCACTAGGATATGGACAACATGCAATCAAGTACCTCTGCAATGAGCCAGCAGCCAGTCTCCTCTAAATTAAATCTGGTGATAGAGCTCAGATGAGGAAACGGCCCACATAGCTCCCCTCCTTACTTTCCTGATACCAGTTCACAGCAGATTTTTATAGGGGTTTTCCAGGACAACAATGGAATAGTTCAGTAATCAGAGAGAGATATTTTGGACTTTAAGATCAATCTTATAACTGTGTGTGGGAGACAGCAAGAGCCACCTCTACCAAGCAGATAAAGCCAGTGCTGGGATATATCAGTCACTCACACTTACTTGGGAAAGAACCTGGGAGAAAGTAACATTTGCATGTCTGGGATGGGTTTTCCAGCTTCCTCTTTTCAGTAAAGCTACTTATGACTGCAAACCACTAAAAGAAGGAACCCCAGGGATCCATCCAGCAGGCCCTGTCCAAGTTGTTTATAGTGTTCAATAGTACAAGGTTATATTGCCTTTGCATCTTCGCAAGCTTTCCAGTGAGCACTTGCAGCCTGGAAGTGGCTTGCTACAGCACTCCAAGATAAGCAGCTGTAAAACACTGCAAAAGCATAAAAAGCATCTGTGTCTGAGAACACAAATGATAAGGCTTCTTCCTCCCAGATTTAAACAGTTCTCTGCATGAGAAAGGCTGGCATGGATGAACAAGACACTGATCTTCTGACACCAACTCTCAGGGCAAAAAGAAAACAAACAAACAAACAAGAAAAAGTTCAGCTTTTGTTTCTGAGAAGTAACATTGTCCACACAATGGCCAGTCACTTACTCATGAGTTCTGTAAACGCTCTTCTATCCTTCCCATCACTCTAGCCCCACTTGTTCTCTTAGCACCAACTTTTCCCTCAGTAGCTGAAGACATAACAAGAATTACAAAATGAGCACCTGCACACTCATTTTACATGGGAACGCACACAGCATGCACACCAAGCAGGTAAATCTGCTGACAATACTTATTGCCCTTTCAACATCACTGTGAATGTATATTGGTGCTTTTTTTTCAAGCTTATCACTGCCCTGCGACCACAGCTGCTCTGTTCCCGAGCCTGCAGTATGTCCTTCTCCCCTGCCTTCTCTCAGCCCAGTTAACCCTGTTTCCAGTGACTTTTATTAGGAACGCAGTCACTGTTTCAGCCACATGGTATGTCTGCCATGCCTCTCGTTACCTGTGCTCTGAATCTGTGCTCAGTGCCTCAAGCTTTTGAGCAGGGATCCCCCTCGGTCATTATTAACCTTCATCACATGCACAATCACTGCTGAACCAACCTGCTACGGAGGAGCCGGGCCAGTGTGTTAGGCACGTAGATGAGAAAACACCCCATAACAAGGGAATTAACCATGGTGCTTGGGAAGCAGGGCAGGAGAGTGCTGAAGCCGAAAGTCCCTCCTCATCCCAGGACAGGTGTAGCAGAGGGGAACACCTTTCCTTGTCCACGTCATCGCATGCTGGCCTCCGCCTTGCTGGAGATCACTCCCCTGCCTGCTGCCTGCCCTCCCATCCCTGACATTAGAGCACCGAACTTGGTGGGCAGGTTTTTCCTGCCCCTGGTTCCTATAGAAACCTTCCTGCAAGCACCCATCTGGGACGGGGCCCAGAGAGAGCACGAGAGGCTCACCTTGCTGCTGGCACCAGGGTGTGCGAAGGGCAGGGTGGGGAGCGTGAATCGCACCAAGAGAAGGCTCCTGCTGTGGCACAAGGAGGCAGTGCGCTGGGGACTCCCCATGGAGCCAGGTGTCTCCAAGAGAAGGTGCCGAGGCCACTACATCAGCCCTGTAGGTCTTCATCACCCTGCTTTCTCCCCACTCCCACTCTGCCTCCAGTAACACATCACAGGAACTGGGAGGAAGGTTCCCTGGCACAGCCAGGCACCACCCAGTGCAAGCCAGGAGGAGTAGGATACCTGGCATATGGGATTGATATAGTAAGTTCTTTCCTTTGACTGAGGGATATAAACCTAAAGCAACTCTCAAACTCTCCTAGCCACGGAGACAGCAAGTAACAAAAGGGGCTTCCATGAAGCCTGTGAAGTTGCACGCATGAAATTGCTACAGCTAACGGCTGTTATTTGCATAGTACACACTTTTGAAAACGAGCAACAGTAAGGGAAACAAAGGAAAAAACACATCAGATCCAACAAATATTAATGGCAACTCCCAAATTCTCAGAACTCTAAAATTAAAACCAGTTTTCACCCATGCATTAAGAAGCATCTCCCATGTTTAAAGGCAATTTAAGTTTCCCATACGAAGCAATTTTGGTCACACAACAAGCAGTCTTCACACTTTGAAAGAAACGCATTTTTTGCTAAAATGCAAATGGTACCTGTTATTTGCAGCTTTACTTTTTGAGTTCAGACTCTAAAACAAATCACACCACCATTGATTCCAGCCTGCTAGAAGACAGCTATAACGACAGTGTGTGTACCTGAAAAAGAAGGCTGCAAGGGAAGCACACAGTCAGCATCAGGTACAGCTTTTTGAAGCACTCCAGCTGCAACATCTTTGCTGGAGTTGCAAATACACACTGCACAGGATTATATCCAATTAGTTTCTTTTCCAGTGTAGGTGTCCTTTAGAAATTGATGTTTGCAAAGGAGACTTGCAAATTTACTTCGACTTGGCAATATCAAGCCTCCTCTGGACACACTTGCTCTTCCACACAGCTGTGATATGAGAGATTTCAATTACCTGGCTTCTTGCAAACACCAGATAACAATCTCCTGCTGCCTATGTTTTACTTGCTTGGCCTCTTTTGCCATGTGATCTCCACTTAAGCCTGCTGTGGTAGCGCCTGGATGTGCTAGGCATGAAATGACGCTGTCAGGAGCCTTTCAGCAGGATCTTTATTTTGGGACAGAAACTCCTTCCCAGGAGTGTTCTTCCCCTGCTGATTTTAGCAACAAGAAAAAAAAAAGAATCCACCAAAGCACCATCAAAGCAGTAACACACCTCTAGCAGACAGACTCTGCAGAAGACGAACGTTTTACAAAGCAATGTTTTTGTATGCTGAAAACATTACAACTAGTAACTATGCAGGAGCCATCAGTGAACATGATCAGAAGGACCAGAACAAGCATAACAATTCTTTCTAGAATGATTTTCATCCACTGTCATAGGAACAGCGTATACAACACTTCCTCTGACAGTAAGCTAGCATGGGGAAAAACTCTGCTTTCCATTATGCTTAACTTGAACATGAAGCAACAGTGCATGCAGTAAATCCCACTGCCACCTCTGGCCTGTCAGCTGGTTTCCACTGCTCTCTATTCTCTTCCTTCATTAAAAAAAAAAAATGTTTTGGAAGAAAGAAAAGCGATTGCTAAGCCACAGTTACTCATCCGGAGGTCACGCACTTAGGTGTAGTTCTAGAAGCCTCTTCCAGCTCAGCTTTTAAAATCCCATGTAGATTGCATCCAATTTAACATTTAGACTGACTCTTCCTCTCTCAGAAATCAGACAAAAGTCAGACCCTGCACTGAATCAGGCAGTTCATTTCTGTCCTCTCACACCTGGAAAGCTTTGTTTTCCTAATTAAAATCCTGACTTGCCCAATGAAATGCACAAGGGGAGCTCTCAGCAGGAAGCCCTTCGCCTTCCCTTCCCCCATCGGTTTCTCCTTCAGGTCAGGCAAAGGCATATCCCGGAGCTGCAAATGCCATTAGTCCCACGAGTCAATATTTAATTTGAACGTATACAGCCAGAAGAAAACTCCAGCCTCACAAACAAGTACGTAAGTGAACAAAACACAGCCACACACCTGACCAAGGGGTGGACAAGATGCAAGTAATTTCTGTCCCTCGCACCCTGACACCCTGGCTTTTTAAGTGACACAGAATCCCACATAGCCACCGACACACACCAGGTCCTGGTTAAGGAGTCAATACAGTATCGGTGAACCTGGGCCATTCCAGGAACTATCTGTTTAAGGCTTAGAGACCACGACCAGCCTCACACTGCTTTGGGTGTTAAACACACTACAAATGTAGGAGGGAGGTGCTGAGGTGGCAGCCTTCATGCCTGCTTTCTACCATGTGACTTGGAATGAAAAGTTGGGGGACTTTAATTGCCCTCCGCCCACTTTCTCGTAGCAGAGAAAGCACATCAGAGATAAAAGCCTACGGCAGGCCTAGAAAGGGGGACACGAGATCTGGAAAGCAGCAAAGGTGAGGGCCTTGCAGAGCCAGGTGGGCAGGCAGGAAGGATGGCAAGCTGCTGACAGCATTATGTCACTGACTGCAGAGGCAGCACCCAGGACTCCAGTGGTGCCCAGTCACCAACTGGGATCACACACTGACTGCAGGAGTGTGGAGGGGCAAAGTGCCTCCTCCCAGTTGCCCCAGGACACTATCAGAGCAACACAAAACAGAGACAACAAAAAGTAAACTGGAACTCTGTGTCTCCTGCCATAAAGCACCTTGTAGACTCCTGGACACATTGGAAATGTAATGCCATGCAGAA